GCAAAAGCTCTTGTCTAGGAGAGTTGCACTTACATCCTTAAATACCATTGCTGGATTATGCTCACTGTTAACTAACTACCCTTACCTGTTCTGAAAATTGGTGTCTGTTTCCTCCTCTGTAAAATGGGTAGAGTATGTGTACATGAGTGAATTTGGGGAGGTGTAGTGTAGGGAAGAACAGTTAGCTTATTCTAGCTAATTAGATTCATGTGAGGCTCATTCCAGACAGAAATAAAATATATACACAGGTTAAAATAATTACAGTGATCATATCTTCATCTCATTCCAGGGGAGTCTTGTTCCTGTCTATAGAAGTCAGTTGTTTTGACGGACATTATAAGTCCCCTGGGCCCAACGTATTTTCTCCACTGGCTCTCCATAGTGCTTGGAATCTTCTCAATTCTCACCCCCTATATTGTTCAGGTATGGGCCCTCAAATGTAGTCTAGGAAAGGTGACATGTTATGCCATCGTCGTCTACCAAAACCCTAGTTAAAATGATCTCATCTGTCTTGATTGTGAGTCACTGAGCAGGACTCTGAATGGGCCATAGCATGGCTCCTTTTTATGATGAGGAAGATGGCTGGGGAAGTCTGGAGGAGACCACAGGGGCAGTCAAGAGGCCTCTCACTGCAAGGGAGAAGAATGGGAGAAGGAAATCCAATGGAAGGTCATTAATGAGTATTTGTTGTTTTTACCGGCCCATCAGCTATAGTACCTTGATTTCATTTTGGAGAACTACTCTTCTCTCTTTGCGTATGTTTTTTTTTTTTTAAAGATTTCCAGTTAACTATCCCCTTAAATGAAAGGATAAAGGTATTATATGAATTAGACCAGTCAGATGCTGTCTTTCAGAAATTGACTCCTGAGTGAAGGAACAGAAGACCTAAAGTAGTCGTAGTCCGTCAATCTCAATGGTGATGCCCTGAAGAGATTGTTCAGTAGCTCCTGCTACCTGGATCTGCAGAGCTGCCCTGATTCCTGGTCATCTTGAGCCTGGGTCTGCAGCTTTTCTTGCTGTCTTTCAGTGAACTTACTTTTCCTCTTGTTTTCCCTTTTCATCCCACATTAACTAGATTTGTTGTTTGCTTGTAACCAAGAATCCTAACATAAATGCTCTAAAAAAAACCCTTGTTCAATACTATGGTTTAATCTTTTCCCCTCTGTAGTAGCAGAGAGAAATCTTAAGATACATTGCTAAATGCCCTATCTGAAGGAACTTGTATCTTGAATGCTTCAATTGGAACTTTGTAGGCCTGTCTCGGTTCAAACTCTGCAAGGAATTAAGCAGCCTTTGTGGCCTTCTTTAAAATGTGTCCTGGATAGGTTTGATCTACTAGGGAAAAAAGGGAATGGGTTGATTGGTTTCTTTATTGCTCTCTTTGTCTCCGTGGTACATTGTTTAACTTCATGCTATAGTATATATTCTCCAAGAGGAAGAAAAACATTTTATTTCCCTATTTCAGAAGTGATGCATGCCTATAATAGAAAATACCAAGAAACAAAATGATGAAAACGAAAGCCACCCATAATCACCAGATAATTACTTTTTAACATTTTCCTGTATTTACAGTCTTTAACATGTAATATATATATATAAAGTATATAAATTAAACATATATAATGTTTACAAATGGGATCATATTGTTTTGTAAACTTAGAATACTTAATATTTGGAAATTTTTGCATGACATTAAATCATTTTCAGTATGATTTTTAATAGTTGCATAGCAGTCTTGCTATATTATTTACTACTCACATTTAGTAAATCTAAAATTTTGAATCTTTTTATGAGAACTCATAAGAATTAAGATTAGTTTTCTGTTTTGAAATTGGTGGAAATATTGCCCAGTGTTATCCACAGCCCACATTGATATCCAGCATATATGACTACTCTCTTTGCCATAGAATGACCAGTGGCAAATGAAGCAGGTGCATTTCTTTTTGTGATTCAGGCTATAAGCTTTGCACAGAACTTGTCATGCTGGAAGGGTTATAGAAAAAGTGAAACGACCTTCAGTCCAGCAGGCCTTCTGCAATTTCTATCTCTGATAACAGGGTGCCCTAAGAGACATTTCATGTATAAGCCTTTTGTTATCAATACTCTTTAATCTCGTACTTGTACCAGGCCCACAAATGTATGCTAATGAGAGCTCTAACACTCCTGGACTTGACTGAAGATTTTTCTCAGTAGGTTTCAGAAAGTACTGAGAAGTATAAGCCCAGCAACGTGCAAGGGGAAAGAGGACACAACTCTGGATGGCCACTTGCTTTACTGGGATGCAAAAGCTCTTTTGAGTACTAGAATCAGGTAAGGGTGGCTATGTTTTCTTGGGGAAGGAGGGAAGGAGGGATCTTGAATGATCCTATTGTCTCAGAGATCTTCAAGAGACCCTAAAGCTTCAATTTATTTCACAGCTTTGGAAACATGTGTTGCCAAATTGTTATGTTTTACTCTCTCCTTCTTGAAAAGCAGGTACCCTGTTATGTGAAGATGCGGCAAATGGCTTGCTATTGTGCCATTAGAGTCTCATTATTGAGTTTTCAGGATTATGACAGATTAAGTGTGAACATTTGCATTCTGAAAGCAGGGAAGGCATCTGCTTTAACATTCAAACTCAGATTTTAATCAACAATGAGAAATAAATAGTGCTAACCCAAGTTTTATTTTCTTAAAGATGGTGGACAAGTCAGCTAAAGTGGTTCAAAAAGAATGTTACTGTGTTGGCAGTAATTCTGGCAGCTAAACAGAATGGTGGAACACACGAGGTAGATCCTTCAAGTCCACATAACAGGTGGAAACTCTAATGTTAAATCAAGTGCCATTGTTGACTTGTATAAAATGTTGCTGGTAGTCATCAGTTCACCAACGCAAAACTAGAAATAAAAAAGAAGCATTATTTTGCACCGTTTGATACACAGTCTTCTACCACGTGGCCACATTTACATGTAGTCTGCTTGTCCATGCACTGGGGTTAAGAGGTCCAGCTGTCAGTCATCTTGGGTAGTAGGAATGCTCAGAGAACCAAAGCTCTGAGCAAGAACTATAGATACTGGGTTTGAAATTTGCTGGTGAAACAGCTGCTAATGAATAGGAATTCTCTGTAAATCCTTAGAGTTCGGAAGCATATCTTAGATGTGTTTCCTGACTCCTGGGAACCAACAATAGAAGTTGGCCATACAAGTCACAGATCTGATTTGTTTTGCTCTACATTTGAAGTTGTTACTGCTGCTGGTGGTCAAGGTGACTATGGTGGTGATAAGTGAATGAGGAAAGCTTCCCAATAACCAGGAAATTTGGGAAGATGTTCTAGTCTCTTTGCCCAGTTCAGCCCAGTTCAGCCCACCCTCTGAAGTGCCTGACTGATCTTTCCCCTCTAGCCCAGGGATTGCAAAATCAAATGCTTGCACAGAGCAGATAGTAACTTAGATAAATAAGGCCTGCTGGGTAGAGACTGGCAGGCTGAAGAATATACCCCCTCATCTAAGCAGAACAGGGCACTAAGTTTTAGGAAACTCTTGGTACATAGGAATGCTGGCTCAGTGTCACCACATTTTGTGTATTATTTTAAGAGCTAATTTGAAGTTTCAGGATTGTAAATGTAAACTCTATCTTATAAACTCAATGCTATTTTTTATCTTGTCACATAAATCAAATTGAATTAAAAAATTGCCTGTACTAAATACACCTACATGGTTGCCGTTTATAACTTTTGGGAGTAGCAGCATCTTAGCCACAAATTACCTATTTTGGAGACAAATCCTGGGATTCCAATACCATTTCACTTCACAGGCTTCCTAAAGCACAGATTAAGAAAATAGGCCCTGAAGTTCCCACCTGTGATTCCAATCATCCTTTAACACTAGCCTCCTGTAAATTCCCTTTAAGGACAGGGAAGAGCACAGAGACTTTGCTACCTTGAAATCTATTAACAAATGCTAACAGTTTGGCATTTATTGAACAAAAAAAGTATTGTTGCTTCATCTTATTTTTATAAGAAATTTATGAGATAGGTTTTATAAGAACTTTGAGATAAGATTGTCATAATCATATTTCTCTTCACAGATGGGGAAGCTGATATTCAGTATTGGGGGGAGGATTTCCTAAAGTCACTCAATAAGTGGCAGAAATGAAATTTGACCTCTGAAGTCTGATTTCAGAACTAAATTTTATTATACTTCTTCCTATTACATTATATGGGGTTTTAACTTGTATAGTTCCTCTGAGTGATGATTAATTCTCCCTCCCTTAAAACATCTTAAGGAATCTGTAATGACACTTGATACTTTTATATTCTCATCCTTTAAATTCTCATCCTTTGATACAGGGTTTTCAAAATGTGTGGGATCCTTCTGTACACTGAAGAGGGATGTTTTTTCTAATGCCTGCCTGCAGACCAGAGCTAATCCCCCTTTCCATGCCCATTTCTCACCAGATAGTCATTGAAAGTTAAAATATAGAAAGGCCAAAATTATTGGTTTCACCTTCAGGTGGGCAAGATAATTTGACTAAATCCATGACCTATAGAGTACTGTCCTAACCCCAGCCAGCCTTCTCCCAAACACAAGCAGTATGTGTGCATCAGTCACCCTTGTCAACAGAGGCTCTGTCAGCCCAGACCCATGTACAGATCCCTAAACAGCATCATCACCATAAATGAAAGCAGTGTGACATGGCTGAGGAATGCAAATACATTTTAACTCAGTTGCCAATGCTAAATCATGAATGGTTGCTGCCAATAGGAGTGTTGTGTTGAGAAAATCTGGAAACCATATTTGAGCTTTTCAAAAAGAATGCTGTAATTGATTGGTCTTGTCTGGCATGGGCTTGGTCTATGGAATGAGTGGTAAGTGCTTTGTACTTGTCATACTTGGTATAGTCTATTAATATAAAAGAGCTAAGATATCTTACCCTTGGTTGCCTTAAAGTGTTTGTATTTTAATTTGCGATTTCTTCTTTTTCAATATTTCTTCTCCCATCTCTGCTGTACCTCAGAAGAAATGGCCAAACGCACATTCTCTAACTTGGAGACATTTCTGATTTTCCTTCTTGTAATGATGACTGCCATCACGGTGGCCCTTCTCAGCCTCTTGTTTATCACCAGTGGGACCATTGAAAACCACAAAGGCAAGTGTCATGGGCTCTCTCAGATGCAATTTTTAGGCCTGTAGGAAACTTCTTGATTACTGTGGACACCAAAGAGAAAAACACTGTCTGCTGATAGTTCTATGTGTACTTAAGCAGCCTGGAATAGCTGTCACCCTTTGCATTAATTACCCTTTCTGCATTGATAGCAGTTTTTATCAAGCTTACCTTTGTCCCCAGCAGCCAGCTGACAGGCATTCTGACAAGTACTTGTTTGCCATTAGTTTTTCCACTAACCTAAGCACAGCTCAAGATTCATCAAGATCCAGTAATGCCAGCTTTTGCTCTGAGCCTCTATCTTTCTCTTTGCCTCCTTGTAGACATCATCTTCTCCCGGGGGCAAAAGGAGAATGAAAGACTCAGTGAATGTCAATTAGTCTGTGAAGAGCTTTAGAGAAAGGGGTCTCAACCTTAAATCCTTACAAGGGCTAATCAAGTTTTGCAAATGAGGCAGAGGGAGCAGGCGGAACAAGGAGGAGGCAGGTGCGATTCTGGTGAAGAAGCCCCACAGCCTCACCCAGGTGCCAGCTGTTTGTTGTTGAGAGAACACATGGTCTCGGATCTCCTGAGTTTTCAGAGAAGCTGATATTGGAATTTTTAGACATCTCATGATTTTTTAAAATGTTGGAAACAAAGTTTTTGAAAACAATGTAGACTACATTTACACACAAGATTGGCAATGGGTCTTTGGTGGGGCCTCTGCTTCAGTCAGTGCTAGGTTACAGAACTGTTCAATGTGTAGAGAAGACAGGTAGAGATTCAAGCCCTGACTAAAGTAGAGAGGGCTGGCCTTAGGCCAAATGGAGAAAATGGCATTTTCTACCTTGGTTTTCCCTTTTGTGGCTTCTTTTCCTACATATTCTCTACCATGTCCCAGAGCTTTGAATTCCTGGCAAACAGAGGATCAGAGATCCTCTGATCCATCAGTAGGCATAAAAGGGCCATCGACTGATAGAAGTGAAAGGATCCTTAAGAATTACTCAGTTTTAGCCGGGTGCAGTAGCTCTTGCCTATAATCCCAGCACTTTGGGCAGGGGGGGGGCAAGGTGGGCAGATCACCTGAGGTAAAGAGTTTGAGACCAGCCTGACCAATGTGGCAAAACCTCATTTCTCCTAAAAATACAAAAATTAGCTGGGCGTGGTGGTGCATGCCTATAATCCCAGCTACTCTGGAGGCTGAGCCAAGGCAGGAGAATCGCTTGAACCTGGGGGGCGGAGGTTGCAGTGACCCAAGATCACGCCACTGCCCTCCAGCCTGGGTGAGAGAGCAAGACTCCATCTCAAAAAAAAAATATTATTATTCAGTTTTGGCTCTTAAATTAGGAAATCAGGAGGCTAAGACCCAGGGTGCTTATTAATAATTATAGTAACTATATTCTTATAGTAGTAGTTACTGTTTATTAAATGCTTTCTGTGTTGAGCACTACAGTGAGGATTCTAGATAATTTTCTCGTCCAATTCTCACAAAAATCCTATCAGGGTGGATGCTAGCCCCACTGTTTACATTAGTGCCATTTTACACATGGGGAAATGGAGACCCTGAGATTGCAAATAACTTACACTTGGCTATACGTTAGGTTCGGCTTTAGTTGGCATGACATTTCTATGCTGGTAGTAGTGAGGCAATAGTAAAGACGCTTGCTCCACTCCTTGCAATATTTGATGTTTTGAAGAAAATCTCAGCTTGGGGATGAGAAGAAGTGGATTCTAACTCCACCTAGAATTTGGTTTAAAGAGCATCAGATTCTGAGTTTGAGGATCTGGACTGCATACCAGCTTCATCACTTGCTCTCCATTAATTATTGGTTAAGTCACTTTTCTGAGTTTTAGTTTCCTCATCTGTAAAATTAAGGAGATTAAGTTACATGATCTCTAAGTTTTTTGAGCTCCAGATTTCCCGGATCTCAGAAGGAATCAGCTATAAATCTCATGCTAAGTACTTTCTTACCACTAATGCCTTGGCAACTCCTATTATCTGGGGAATGAAAATAAACAAACAAATGAATATATAAAATGTCTAAATTGGTAAAGAAAATCAAAGCTACATAGTAGCCATTGTTCCAAGTTTATAATATTAGTGAACATAGTTATTGTTCAAAACAACCCCAGGAAGCAGGATATTATTATAATCTCCATTCCATAGATGAGAACATTGGGGTGAAATAGGTTAAGCAATTTGATTACTTAGTAAGTGGTAGATTCAGGTTTCAAACACAGGCAGTTTGTTTCTGGCATCTGTCTTCTCGCAAAGATCCTATATGTCATTCTGCTTGCCTTGATATTTGTGTGTGTAAAATCTATAGGCATACAATAATATAGAATATATATGTATAAATACACACATATAGATATGAATATATAGATATTAGAATAATTAAGATGAAATTATATCAACAAATATACAATGATCTGTCTCATTAAAAATACGTCTTTAGCGGGTCAAAAAGGATCAGAGCCAGGGCAGAGCCAGCGGGGTGGTATCCTGCAGGTGAGGAGTTGAGTAGGATCTAGGTGTGATGGAAATGGACTAACTCTGAACCAGGTGGTGGAGTGTGGTAGGTGGAGAGGAAAGGATTGAGGGGTCTGGATAGAAAGAATGGAAGAAACCAATCCCCAGACATTGGATTTAGTAAACCTGGCACCTGTTTAGTTTAGCTAGGAAAGAAGAGCAGGGCGTTGAGTGAAGGCAGTGAGTATGACAAGAAATGGCTTGTGAGGAGGAGTGAAAGGATGGTTGACAGAGGCCTTGACTGCTAGTCTAAAACATCTCTCATCCAAGAAAAATATTCTGTTTGGATTAGGATTTTTAAACAGGTTCCTGAGATATTTCTCACTGAATATTTTTATGTATAAGAAAATATATAAATAGTTTTTCCTAGGAACCTGAGCCTATATACTATATTCTAATTGATGTTGACAAATAAGAGTGCTGAAATGTTGTTTCTCAAATCTCTTACTCTGTTTTGGATTCAGGAAGCCATTTTTTTCCAACCACTCAAAGCCCTCCAGCCACGCAGGGCTCCACAGCCACCCAGGGCTCCACAGCCACCCAGAGCTCCACAACCACCCAGAGCTCCACAGCCACTCAAACTTCTCCAGAGACTTCTACCCCAGAGCCTCCTCTATTTCAGAACTTCAGTGGCTATCATATTGGTGTTGGACGAGCTGACTGCACAGGACAAGTAGCAGATATCAATTTGGTAAGTGGACAGTGAGCTCCTTAAGGAGACTGGGAAACAAGTAATTTCATTATTTTGCAACCTGCAATGATTTCTGATTATACAACATCAACATTATATTCTTCTAGCTTTTGAATTGACTTTACTGCTATCTAGCACTATGAATGTCATACTAGAAGAAAGAGGCAAACTTTTCTTGAATCACATCTCCCCTGTAAAGTCAATTGGCCATTTTTGTTTTATTTTCTTTTTATGAGAAGTAGCAGAGATGGCAAAGTCAAATACTACAGGGGGTAAGCAGGTACCATTAATGACATCACCAGGCCAGTGTAAGATAAGAAATGTCTAGTGAATCCTCAGTTTAGGGGTGGGAGGCAGTAGGAAATGGTGGAGATTTTGAGGGGAAATAAAGCATAATGAAAGTATATGGATCTAGCTGATTGTTGCCATGTAAGAATGGGGGACTCAGAGCTGCCCTATTTTGCACTTTTTAAAAAGAAGCCCCCAAATCCCCAGATTAAAGAGTTGAAGATTCAAATCTCTTACTTAAAAAATAAGGGCAACTCTAGCTAAAACTGGAAACCTAGGTTGGACCAATACTGTGAAAGCAAATGCAGCACTTCTACATGTCGGGTGTGGACTATTGCCTACTAGTCTTGGCTATGTGATGGAAATACCCTTTTATGTCAGTGCTTCCCTAGGAAACCAGAGCATGACGTTGTCTGGTGGGATTCACTCCCTCCCTCTGAGTAATCTTTACATTCCAGGTATGATTCTCAACTGTGTGTTTCTGAAAAGTGATCCTGGAATGCGAACCCTAAATAAACACTCCAGGAGGGGTTATGCAAACAGTAGAGGGGGCATTCTGAAGACATGGGTGTAGTTTTATGGGTAAATTTTATGATACGGTGAGGGAAGTGGCTTGGGATAGTTATATGTAATCTGAATTGTCTTAGGGAGTTGTGGAGTCCTGATAAGTCAGGAGTCCCAGAGTTGGGGAGAACAATTGTTCTGGGAGGCGGCTAGTCATAGACAACCTGCTGCCACAACATTCTGTCCCCAAACACTTCATTCCACATGTAGCCCCAGCAGCATAACCTCTTTCTGCATATGCCCCCCCTTAAGTATGACCCCTTAAAACTTCCCTACAGCCCCTTCCTGCTGTGCTGCCTGTTGTACCTTTGCAACGTATTTTCATACATTCCCTAATAAATTTTTCTTTCTTTATCTACGACTGTTTTGGTAAATTCTTTACTGCCCTATGTCATGGGTAGTAAAGGAACTTATCAGCCAGTCGCACCCACAACAGAAACGATATTATGGTAAAAGCCAGGGTGAGGTACCCTCTATGAAGAATACTTAATTATAAAGATACTGTTTTCTTCAGAAAACAAAATCATGCACAAAACAACCAACACGAAAGAGCCTTCAATCTTTAGAATGTTCCTGGGGCAATGTGGAGTGAAGGTAGGGGAAATATTCTTTCCTGTAGTACCTTAGATAGGAAGGAGAAAAAGTGCCATTGCAAAAACCAGAAAGACCAGAAAGATTTCCTGTGTTAGCGTTAGCCACAGAATTTCCAAAGCTGTACCAGCTTCCTCCTGCCCATAAGCCAGGGAATAGCTTCTGCCAACCTGATCATCAATTCTTTGCCTTTGCATTTTTCTACACAGAAGATACAAGCCTCCTTTATGATTTTTTTTGCTTGCTTTCTTCCTTTTTCTTTTTAATTTTTCAAACCATATATTCTCTCACTCAGAGCCACAATGTCATGTGGATGTTTTATCTTTGTCTTTCTGCAGTCATCTATGTTGTATGTTTGTGTCTGGTTTCTCGTAGCAGGGGAGTGAGACAAAGCAGCTCTGATTGTCTTTTCCTCTTTAGATGGGCTACAGCAAATCTGGCCAGAATGCACGGGGCATCCTCACCAGGCTGTACAGTCGTGCTTTTATCATGGCGGAACCTGATGGGTCCAATCGAACAGTTTTTGTCAGCATCGACATAGGCATGGTATCCCAAAGGCTCAGGCTGGAGGTAAGTGATTTGAGAAGAGAAAGAAGTGAAGAAATGACATGGTTTAAGAAAAATTGGATTAATGTGACAAGAATTAATTCCTCTTGGTTTCTCATTCAGTGAATTCTACTACCTTCAGTATTATACACTCTTAACTATATAACAGATAATCTCACAAGGAGAATGATCCTCACTATTTCAGTTTAGGTTATCTTGGTCAAAAGTTGCTTTCAGTTCTGCTGATGACTCATCATCAATATTAATGCTAATGTTTTTTATTGAAAGCCTGTAATGTCTCAGGTGACTTTTATGTGTATTCCCTCATGTAATTCTCCTTCTTAGAAGTTGGGAGAGTTCCAGGTAATCACCAAGCCCTTCCTTGAGTTCTCAGACAATTGAGAATACATTTGAGGAATCAGATGTGAATTAAAATACAACATTGAAAGGAGGTTGACCATGAATTGATAGTTATAGAAGCTGAGTAATAGGCGCATGGAGATTCATTATAGTATTCTAATTATTTTTGTATGGATTTCAAATCCATACAAAGAGAGGAGGAGGAAAGAGGGAGAGAGAGGCAGGGAAAGACAGAGAGAGAAAAAAAGAGAGAGCAAGCAAGCGAGTGATAGAACTTCCAATTCTATCTTTCTAAGGTAATTTCTAAGCCCTGACCCAGTTATATTTTCTGAATGGGATCAGGTCACAAAAGGAGAATGTGCTCTGTTAATATCTGCCCACATATTCATTAATGTGAGAAAGAGGAGCGGCTGGAGCATTGACCAGAACAATGACCAGAAATGTCCAGCATGTAATATCAAGTTCTATTAGCCTCACCTGTTAAACACTTTCTTCCTCCTGCTGTGTGAAGGGGCCAGTGAGAGGGATGATGAGATGGCCTAAAAGCATCACTTTAACATTGCTCCCTCTTAGGGAGGGGAGTAGAAGCCTCCCCCATCTGTGGGGAAATGAGGAACAGGAGATTAAGTGTTTTCCCTACTCCTTCACTTACCACAAAACAGTGAGGTGGCTTTCTTAGTAACTCAATTTTCTGGATAAGAAAACAGAGTCTTAGAGAAGGTAGGTACCTTTCCAAATTTCACACAGTTACCAAATGGTAAAGCAGGATTCTGAATACAGGTATGCTTAATCCCAAAGTCCACATTCTTAAAAGTGACGTTACTCTATACTCTTAGAGGGAAAAATGCATTGACCACTTGCTTTTTGTAAGGTACTTTGCTAAGGTCACTTCAAGGGACACACAACTGAGTGAGTCATAATCCGTCCCCCTTATGTGGTCATTATCTAGTTGGTGGATAGGAGGAAGGACCATGACAGAAATATACAGATAGCTATAATTCACTGAAGGAAGGTTCAGTGGGATAGTTATTGTTTATTACTGAGTAGGAAATTACCCTAAACTACAGTGGCTTAAAACAATAAACATTTATTATTTCACATGATCGATGGGTCAGGAATTCAAGACTGGCTTGGCTCGGTGGCTCTGGCTTAGGTTCTATTGCAATCCAGATGATGGCAAAGCATGAGTCATCAGAAGGCTTGACTAGGCTTGAAGGTCCACTTCCAACATGGTTGGCCAAGGCCTCAGTTCCTCACCCTTCTCATCTTTATGACACAGCAGCTAGATTCCCTCAGAGCAAGTGACCCAAGAGAATGAGCAAGGAGGAAGCTACAGTGCATTGTATAATCCTGGTTTAGCAGTTATACACCTTTACTTTCACCCTGTTCTATTCACTAAGCAAGTCATTAAGTCCAGCCCACATCCAAGGGTGACAAAGTAAGCTTTGCTTCTTAAAGGGCAAAATATCTGAGAATTTTTGGACATATAGTCTTTTAAGATCATCACATAGGGATTCAAGAAATGCAAATTAGGAAAACATTTTCATGGTGGAAATGACACTTGAGTGAGCAGAATTTTAAATGGTTAAGGTGGGAAGAGAGAAATCTGATGGAAGAAACAGAATGAACAGAGAGGCATGGAGGAGGGATGTGGACTCTTTTATGAGGGAACAGAGGAGACCTATTAGGACATAGGGAGGCATGTAGTTGGAGATGTATCTGGGAGGTATGTTTGTCATAATTGCAGAGGGCCTGAGATGCCGGCTTGTTTTTACTTCTGTGGGTGATATGGATTCTGAGAAATCTGAGTGGTGGAGTGATGTAAACACCATTTTGTTTTAGGATGAGTAAGCAGGTAGAGATGTTTGATATGGATTGGAATAGCGTGGAACTAGATGTGAGGACAAAAAATAGCAGATTCTTTAAAGTGATACCAAGGCTCTATTGGTGAAGGTCTGGTTAAGAAAACAGTAATCATCATACTAAGTATTTCAAACAGAGGGATTTCACACAGGGGAGTTTTACAAGATGTGAAAAGGCTGAAGGAACAAGAAAGGGAAGCTGGAGTTGCTGGAAGGGTTTTTATTTCTTATAACTTTGCCTAACAATTTCCCCCTTTATCATGTGAGTCTGGCACAAAGGTTTTAAACCAATATGATGGCAGTGAGACTATATGGTGGTGGGATATGAAATTAAATGTGAGTTGGCTGGGCGCAGTGGCTCACATCTATAATCCCAGCACTTTGGGAGGCCGAGACCTGTGGATCGCTTGAGGTCAGGAGTTCAAGACCAGCTTGGTCAACATGGTGAACCGTGTCTCACTAAAAATACAAAAATCAGCCAGGCATGGTGATAGGTGTCTGTAGTCCCAGCTACTTGGGAGGCTGAGGCAGGATAATCACTGGAACCTGGGAGGTGGAGGTTGCAGTGAGCCGAGGTCATGCCACTGCACTCCAGCCTGGGTGACAGAGTGAGACTTCAACTAAAAAAAAAAAAAAAAAAAAAAAAAAAGAAATAAAATGTGAGTGAGATTTGAAGATGAATAGACATAAAAGGTATTATTTAATATTTGTACTGAGTCTGGAACTCTTGTAAGTACTTTATATGGATTAATGTACTTACTCCTCCAAATGACTCTATGAGAGAATATTATCATGTCATTTGACAGATTGGGAAACCAAGTTTGCAGAGGACCAAGTAACTTATCCAAGATTGCTCAGCTAGGAACTATCAGAGCTGGGATTCAAACGTGAGCATGTTGGTGCCAGAATTCATGCTCATTTCTACTGTACTATACTGCTTTCCTAAAAAATGAGATGGTTCTAATTGGGAAATAGTATGATCATTAGCAGAAATAAAAGAACCAAAAGGTAGACTTCAGGAAGTAGAGTGGAGGGGAGTTTAATGTGTTGGTTTGTAGATGCTGTACAAGTCAATAGTGGGCACCATTTATCTATCTCTTCCTATTTTTACTTCCCCGTGCAATCTGAGGCCCAGTTGGAAGACCCTTAAATGAACCCACTTAGTTATCCCAAATTAACTTAAGGGAAGGTGTGAAAAACAAATGTAGCTAAGTAAATGCCATTAAGATTATTTATAACACCTGCTTCTATGTAGGTTCTCAGTCCCAGCTTTAAGATTGATAAAATTTCCAGCACAGAATTTAGATTATGGAAGATCTCTGTGCAGTGAGGCAGGACAGGAAAATAGAAGGATTTCTTCTGTGTCGTGCTCCCAAGAAAGTCGGTGATAGAAAATGGAATAGAAACTGAAGACAGAAGTGAGCTATAGACATAAATGTAGCTGCCTTGTCCTGTGTTAAAATACCCTCCTTTCATGAACTGGGAAACATGTTCTTTTCAATGGCTATTTGCTGGCATTGTTATATGACTAGGTTTTACATTTTTCTTTTTTTCTTCCTAGAAGTCCAATATGTCTGGCTTCATATCAGAGATTATAGCTTAAAATACATTTACTGTGTACTGTTTGTAGTCTTTTTGTTTTAAAATTCAAGATTCATAATTTCTGTCTTTTTAAGGGCTTGATTCTTGAGTAGACATGAAGAAATGTATTTAATTCTAAAATCATTGTGTCACAGTTCTTTGTGAATAAATAGGATGGGGTTAGGGATCTTTAAAGTTGACTTGTGGCTCTTTTTCTCTAATACCTTCTTGTCTCAGCTGCAAATTGTTAAAAACATCAGCTTCTGACTTTAGTACAGCTTTCATGGTGTCCCTTCATTGACCATTTTTTCTTTTCTTTGTAGACATTTCTTCTTCGTAAGTGTAGTAGTTACAGTGTGGAATAATATGTGAGAGTGATGAGAGGTTGGAGCTGGAGTTCAGATCAAACAGAAAGAATAAAGGATGTCAGTCTGGTTATGTCTTATTTCCATTCTATAGTTGTCTTGCATCATAGGATTGCTTATGTGGGCATGGCAACCAAACACTCATTCTTTGGGGCATGGAGAGGTTAATGAGGCAAGATGGTTATGAATGGAATGAGAATGTATAGATCCTCACCTGCAATAGGAGAGGTTGAATAGTTATCTTCATGTATATTAAGTACATAGCACAGAAGCTGCTACTGCCCACTTACCAGGAGTGAGCTGGAACTAGCTTGCACAAGCTCATAAGAGCCAATTTGTAAATATTCAGGAACATTGTGAGTTGGCTGTTAAGCTTTTGGTATCTCAAAATTGATCATGATGAGGAGTTTTTACACCACAGGAATTGGCAGATAATACAAATGAGGACTTTAAATTTTATTCTATTTTCCAGAGAGACAGCTTATCAGAGTGTCTGTGCCAGACTCAAAGTAAACATTGCTAACAATTAGGTTGGATTTGACACTTTTGTTGGATCTTTTTTTTTAATGTAATGTTTGTGGGTACATGACATATATATTTATGGAGTACATGAGATGTTTTGACACAGGCATGCAATGCCTAATAATCACATCATGGAAAATGGGGTGTCTATCCATTCAAGCATTTATCCTTTGTGTTACAAACTGCTGGATCATTTTTTGATTATCTTTCAGAGGGACCCCATGAAAGGGAATTGAATCATGGGGGTGGTTACACCCATGCTGCTGTTCTTATGACAGTGAGTTCTCATAAGATCTGATGGTTTTTTTAATAAGGGGCTTTCCCCCACTTCCCTCTGCACTTCTCCTTCCTCCTGTCATGTGAAGAAGAATGTGTTTGCTTTCCCTTCTGCCATGATTATGTTTCCTGAGGCCTTCCCAGCCATGGTGAACTGTGAGTCAATTAAACCTCTTTCCTTTATAAATTACCCAGTCTTAGGTGTGTCTTTATTAGCAGCATGAGAATGGACTAATACAGATGTTATTGGTATGGATCAGTGATTGACTCATCAAAGCGTTTTCTCATGTTGGGCTCCTATGATATCCATAATCTTAGTTCAATTACTTTTTTTCTTGAAGGTCCTGAACAGACTGCAGAGTAAATATGGCTCCCTGTACAGAAGAGACAATGTCATCCTGAGTGGCACTCACACTCATTCAGGTCCTGCAGGATATTTCCAGTATACTGTGTTTGTAATTGCCAGTGAAGGATTTAGCAATCAAACTTTTCAGCACATGGTCACAGGTATCTTGAAGGTAGGCAAAGAACCCCAGAGGCAGCTGTTCTTTACCATTGCTTACAGGTATTTTAGGTGTGATTGGATGTGATATGAAGAGTGCCTATAGGATTTGGGTCTGAGCATAGTATTAGCATGTACCATTCTGTCTCCTCCCTCATCCTATCTTAGCTTCTGGTTCTGAGCTATGGGCTGTTAGGGCTGAGGTACTGATGATTAGAAAAGGAGGGTTCTATGGGATTAAGCCTGATATAGTTATTTAAAGAGACAGAAAACATTTTGGTTTGGGTTCTTTATAGAGGGCACTACATGGTCTGTTTTCTGCACAAAGTCACACAAAAAGAAGCCCATGAAGGAGCCAAAAGTAGGTACAAATAATTCTAATTTTTAAAAATATTTCCCAATATACAAAAAGAATTCAACTTATAAACACACATCCCATTTTTTCAAGTTCTCTACTGCAGATGCAGACCTCCGTGGTGCTCCTAACAAATACCATTAAACTCCTCTCCTATTTCTGGTTTGAGTAGCTTATACTCCTCTCTCCCCTGTCTTCCAACTTATTATTTTGTTGCATAGAATCCTGGCTAATGTTTTTCTTCATTTGATTGTCTTCTGGGCTTATTCTCTATTTTTTTCTTACAATGTCACTCCCAAAATTCAGGGATCCAGCTGGCATAGGCAGAAATTGCTTTACAGTGATGTTTTGCAAACTGAGACTTGCAATGTATTCAAGACTTATGAAATCAATTTCATTGGTTGCAAAAAGCATTATATAAAACACACTAAAAAAGAGATTGTAAGGTGTAGTGCATAACACACTGTCAGGGTATACTGTGCTCTGTGGACTTTTGTTTGGGGATGCATATGTTGATGTGTATTAAGTTATGAAAAATGTATCTCTCGCTGTAGTTCATAGTCAAAAAAGTTTGAACAACTCTGCCTTGGTGGTAGAATGGCAAGGGTAGAGAGATGGAAACACTTACCTATTAGCAAAACGTGTACTTAGTGTTGCGGGAGTCAAGTCTCCCATTTTGGCTATCTGAAGTGACAATTAATTGAGCCTCACTTACCAGTCCCGAGAGACCAGGAGATGAGGCTTTTTGTGAGCTCAGGCGTTAATCAACACTTCTTCCATATAACATGGCATTTCCTTTACCTTAACATTGAAAGCCATTTCTGTTTACCTCCAGAATGGCAATAGCAATGTGGTTCTCCAGCTTTTATCCCATAATGTGGACACATTAGACACAAAGGAAATTGTCCACAGGGTTCTTCTGTTTATATTGACTAAGTCATTATCCCCACCAGGATTTATAAGTTTGTAACTTCCCCCTCTGTTTTAATCTTCAGAGCATTGACATAGCACATACAAATATGAAGCCAGGCAAAATCTTCATCAATAAAGGAAATGTGGATGGTGTGCAGATCAACAGAAGTCCCTATTCTTACCTTCAGAATCCACAGTCAGAGAGAGCAAGGTGAGGAGGAATCATCAAAATGAAATAGTTTCATTCCCTTTAGGGAACAGCAACAAATTCTAAGTGCAAGGCTGTTACTTGATGAATATGGTGAGGTCCTGAGAGAGTACTACAGCTACAATATCTTAAAAACATCTTTATTATCTAAGACAAGCAGAAACAAAAAGTGAATGTAGAAGCAAACACCGATTTATTCATGTATCATTCCACGTTGTTGATTATGGGAGCCAGTGTGGTTGTTTGAAGGACTCTGGGCTTTGAAATCAGGAACAACTGTGGTCTCAGCTTAGTTTCATTGCTTCCTAGTTATGTGACCTTTAGTGACGTACTTATCTTAATTTATTGGCACTCAGCTTCTTCATCTGTAGAATGCAGATAAAAATATGCATAACACATATTTATTAAATTAATGAATAGCTTTTTTATTGTGTGTTATCCAGAAGAATCATCTTAGTCCATGAGAGTGTGGCAAGACAGAGAAGATAAAAGAATAAAGAATATGGACAGAAGAGTAAGAAATAAGCCCACATATTTGAATGGAACAACTAAGGGAGAGGGTTATTTTGTCTTTTTGTCTTTTTATAAGTGATGAACCAGGTTTGTGACAGAAGAGAAGTGCGTGGCTATTATAGCACTGTAAAATAATATCATAGTTTCAACTTGACCACTTGACATTTTACATTTTTATTCATATTTTTCAATAGCTTTCAAAGGAGATGATTTTTAGAAAATATAATCTGATTTCCCTTGAGAGAACATAAAAGAACACTTAAGTTGCAGGTCTTCAATGCTTTTGATTTTGTAAATTCCCTACTTTTTAAAAGAGATTTCATTAAAAATTGATAGGAATAGAAATTTCAAAGACAAATCCCTTTTGTAAGAAATACATGTGTGTTATATAATATTGCATATTATATAAAAAATATACATTTCAGCTCCAGTTACTTGACCTAGTCCCCCAATCTTTGATCACAATTGCACACCCTTTCCTTAGCTGAGAAATGAGGTACTGGATGCAGTTCACAGAACTACTGATTGTCAGGTCACCTCACTTACTGAGAGGCATTTTTGTTTTTGTGTCAGCTGCTGTTCATCTTACACGAGGGTCAGGCTCTAACACAGAACTGATTGCGTTTTTCTGTTTTACTGACTAGGTATTCTTCAAATACAGACAAGGAAATGGTAGTCTTGAAAATGGTAGATTTGAACGGAGATGACTTGGGCCTTATCAGGTACTCTATTTTCTTTTTAAAAATAATTCTGTCTGGGTAGCTTTTCTTAATTAAAGAGAGGGGGAAAGAGACTAGAATAGTGCCAGCACGCACTGAGAATAAGCTGTGTGGTTGGGAGTACAGGCTGTGGAGCCAGACACAACTGGGGTCCATCCATGGGCCTCGTACGGGGTTCTCAGCCTCTCAGGGCTTGGTTCTCCACTTGAAAAACAGAGTTAATACACGGATGATAAGTGAGAGGTCTCGGTGAAGAGCTTGGCACAGCATCTAGCATATGATATAAAAACTCAGTAAACAACGCTTATCGCACCGTCAAGATCTCATATGTGGACCTTCCATGATGGTGAACAGTTATCTCCTTTCATTTTTCAAAATGAAAAAACAATCTGACCAACTAGGAAGGTGGTTATGGGTTTGAGATTATTTACCTGGGTTTCCCTAAAAGGATTAAGTCTGTTGCAGGACAGTGTCAAGTAGGGATAAAGCAGAACTGAGAACACCTAAAGGAAGCAAGTGAGAAAATTACAGCTGGGGACAGCTTTTAGAACCATTATCTGGCAGTGACAGCATACAGGAAAACACATGGATTTTGTTTTCTCTGAAATAAGGCATTTGCATTCATATGTGATTTTGGTTACTGCAACTGGCTTGACTCAGGAATTGACTGGGTGGATAACATAGTGCCAGACTTTTTGACGTATGGACTTACAAATGATGCAGACGTGCCCTAGGGAAGTATCAGATAGCCTGGGTGCTAGACTCAAACGGCTTGGGTTCACTCGGCTCTTGTTCTTATGAGCGATGTGACTTTCGACAAGTTCTGTGACTACTCTGTCTCCCTGTGTTCTTATCCCTAAGCATTTTTTAGTATACTATGGTATAAAGTATTTAAAATGTTGATAATAATGATTAGAAAGATAATAGAGGGTCTGCCAAATAGAATTATAAAACATCTAAGTGGTGGGTGTTGAACAATGAGAACACATGGACACAGGGAGGGGAGCACTACACACTGGGGTTCGTTGGGAGGAAATGGGGGAGGGGCGGGGGGTGGGGAGGTGGGAAGAGATAGCATGGGGAGAAATGACAGATACAGGTGAGGGGACGGAAGGCAGCAAACCACACTGCCATGTGTGTACCTATGCAACAATCTTGCATGTTCATCACATGTACCCCAAAACCTAAAATGCAATTAAAAAAAAAAGATACTATGTAAATAAAACTAGCAGTAAAAGTGACAAAGTAATGAAGAAAAACATTAAAAACCATGATTTACAGAGTTGGCCCTAAAACTAAGTGGAAAACAACATGGTAACAAGTTCCGGTCTTGAGGTAAGGTTGACTTGGCTTCAGATCCCAGCCCTCTGCCACTTACTAACCCTTTGTCCTGGACAAAGTAACTTAATCCACTAAGACCTTAACTATCCTATTTGAAAATGGGAATAATAATACCCCATAGAGTTGTCTGAAGATTAAATGAGATAATGCATGCAAAACTCTAGTTCTGTGCCTGGCATAGAAGGAAAGTTTAATCATTTTATTTAAAAGGAATAGAAAAAGAAATTCTACCTCTTCTAAATAATTCCATTATTGGCATATTAGAATGCTTGAAATTCTTAGCATTTGAGTTCCTCTTTTGTGTTAAAAGTGAAGTCACTAAAAACCCCTTAATAAAATTTGCTATATGGGCTGACATAATAGGACTCATGCTTCTATTACGCTAAATTCATCTCTTGATTAGCTGCCTCCTCAGCATTTAACTCAACACACTTTCTAAATATCAAGCATGTAACTGTGTGTGGGGGATATGTTCTGATGAATAAGGCATGGTTTCTATTTTTAAGTGTCTCATAGGCTGGTGGAGTGATTGGGGAAACAGACAGACAAATAGATAGACAAGTAACTATAACATGAATCAGATGACCAACAGTGCTATCACTTGGGCATAAATAATGCTATGGGAGTTTGGAGGAGGTAGCCCTGAGTTTTTCTTGTGAGCACTGTGGAAAGCTTCCAAGAAAAAATGACATTTGAGCTGGAACTTAAAGGAGGCATGGGATTTCTTACAGAGTCATGAGAAACAGAGAGTTGTGAGGCCAGAGTGTGAGCGAGGTCAGGGTGTGGGTAAGAGGTAGACTGGAAAGGTAAGACAGTCCAGATTCTAGAGCACTTTAGAGGGGCATTCAATTACAAGAGGGGCAGGATAAGACCACACATCTCTGCTAGTTACACGGAGTGTCCCAAATTTGTTGAGACAAGGAGATAAGAGTTGTCCTTATAGTTTCTATTTAACTCTTGGCTGAAGGACCAAGACCATTTACAATTCCCTTTTAGAAGTTTTTGATTTTTTTTTTTTTTTTTCTGAGACAAGTTCTTGCTCTGTTGCCTAGGCTGAAGAGCAGTGGTGTGATCGTAGCTCACTACAGCCTCAAATTCCCAGGCTCAAGTGATTCTCCTGCCTCAGCCTCCTGAGTAATTGGGACTACAGGTGCTCGCCACCACATCTGGCTAATTTTTAATTTTTTGGGGGTAGAAATGGGTTTATTATGTTGCCCAGGCTGATCTCAAACTCCTGACTTCAAGTGATCTTCCACCTCGGCCTTCCATAGTACTTGGATTATAGGTGTGAGCTACTATGCCTGGCCAGGTTTTGAATCATTTAATAAATGGAACAGAAAATTCAAAAATACTGTTATTTTGGCTAAATATTCTTTTCTTCCTTATATACAATTATGTCATGTATCTGGAAGTCCTTTGGTCAACTGTCAAGGTTATAGAAAGCTTTTCCATCTGTTGTGCTTAACACCCTGCAATAACTTTCCATTGTTTCTGTAGCTGCCTTATGTTATCTTGGTTGTAATTGCTCCTGCAATTGCCTCTTGTTGCATAGTGTAATTGCTCTTTGAATATGTTAAAAACGATCCAAAATATAAAGTCAAATCTGGGCTGCTAAGTAACTCACCCACCATATGTAGGTGCCTGCTGTTAGAGAGAATCCCAAGGTATGAGGAGTTTGGAAGCACAGCAACTCAGAATCACAGAGCATGGAGACCACCTATTCAACCTTCAGCTGAGGAGCAAGGGCCTAGGAAGGTGATGTGACCTGCCCAGCATCACAGCCAAGACTATCTTCTTCACAGTGATAACCATATTCAAGTTCATAATTCATTCCTTCTTATGTTCATTTTTGTTTTCAGTTTTTCATTCAGCAAGCCTGCACTAGGTTCCTACTATAAGCCCTGCAATACTTCCAAGTCCTTGGAATGACACATTTCCTGGCCTTGGAATCCAGCACCTTGGAATCTAGTACCCATGTTTGTGCTACTGGAATGAATCCCTTAAACTCTCTGAGACTCAACTGCCATATTTCTCAAATGTGGCTATCATATTTTCTCTCCACACAGAGCTTATTATGGGATACATTGATGAACAAATACAGATGGAGTTGCTGTCCTTGTAGACTTCAGTCTACTGAGGGAAACAGAAGGCATACAGATAGGTATACAATACATGTAAAATTACAGCTGGGCTGAGTGCTAAGAAAGGCAGGTGTGTAGAGCTATCTTAAAGGAATTTGACATTGTTAGAGAGATTGGAAAATGTTTCCCTGAGGGAGTGACAATGGGAGCTGGAAACTGGAGTAGTAATTAACCGGCAAAATGCAGGGATTGGCAAAGAACATTGAACCCAAACGGGGAAGTATTTGAAGAACTGGTAAAAGGTGTGTGTGGCTGGAATCCAGAGGTCAGCGGGGTAGGATATTGCAAGACAAAGTAAGAGCTAGAGATTAGATGGCAGGACAAAGAATTTGTTTTTATGCCAAGAAAGAAAACTCGCTAAAGTGTTTCAAGCTAGGGTTGGGAGTCAAGGCTGTCAAAGGGTTGGGAAGAGTGGAGACTCAAGGAATGAAGTAAAATTATGTTCCTGAAAGCGTTCCGTGAACCATTAAATCCTCTACAATTGTGAGACCATCGTTTGTACCAGCTGCTCTATGTCAGAAAAATCTATGTCAGAAAAATATTGCTACCTTTGTGCCTTTTTCCCCTTACACGAAAACATGACACGTTTTTTTCTCCAGGCATGGAGAACATATTTGGGATGTTCTGAATTGTGAATTAAAATATAAGCTGTGTAACATTTACAAAATTCACTGTGGGAGACTCTGCAAGGAACTTCAAGGGTTTGTCATACAATAGAGTACAATAAATGGAACCTTGAGAGTCTCTGATGCAGTAAGGCATTATGTGTATGAAGAAAACATGAAGGAAGAAAGCAAAACAATTTTCAAATGTCTTCATCGAAAAGAAAGTCACAAGTGCAGATGATCTGAGTGACGGCTGTAGTCAGTGGAAGAGCCACTTCTCACACAGCTACACTTACGAAGGCAGCTCTGAGACAGGTGGGGAGGCCGACCGACTTCTTCAAGGATGGATGTGGCAGCTGAACAGGCTTCGTCTTGCCTTTCTTCCCTTTGCCTTCCTCTTTTCCTCTGCCGCGTTTTCTTCCTTGAGTTTCCCGCAGTTGCATGGACTCCTCTTGTCCTTCTTCTTTTCTTTCTCTTCCTCCTTTCTCCTTCCCTCTCCTTTCCTCCTCCTCCTCTTCCTCCTCTTCTCTCTTCTCTTCTCCTCTCCTCTCCACTGCCTTCTATATGTGTATTGTAAATTATTTTATTCTTACAGTCAGTGGTCTTGTAAGGGGGTGCTTTAAAGGCATATTTTTAAGACAACGATGGGCAGTGATTTGTGTAAGCTATTTGAATCATTTGTGTGCAAAGTTAGAAAAATCCAATTTGTGGTATTACACCAATTTATTCAAATGGTAGTGACTTACAGTTGCAGTATATATGTAAATCTCTATTATCTATGACTGTGACTTCTTTATTTAAAAACTTTTTTTTTTTTTTTTACACAAAAATGTTTTGGTTTTAACTGACACAGAATAATTGAATTATTTTTCAGGAATTGTAATGTCTGACTGTTTATTCTCTATGGCTTTACCTA